CAGTGAGCTGAATTCATTCAGTGTCAGAATTTGGTAAAATGTTAATGTAGATGAGTGCCCTACTTTTCTGGACTTTTGTCAGGACCATGACACTGTGTGCTAACTCTTGAAATTGATAAAATAATCTGCTATTCTTTATTTGTATTTTAACTTGAGTCTGACTGGACTTGGCTAATTTGAATGATGAATAGACTTTCTAAAATATTTATTAGCTATTTTAGGATTATAGGATTTCTATTTGCCTTTGTTTTTGTGGCTATAATAAAATATCTGAGGATAGGAACTTTATAAAGAATATATCTGAGTCTGGGTACTTTATAAAGAATTTTGGAGACTGAAAGTCAATGATTAGGCAGCCCCATCTGTTTGGCCTTTGATAAGGTCCCCCTTGACTACACCACACCAAGACAAAGGGCATCAGGGTAGGAATGCACATGAGAGGGGAGATCACATGGAGAACCAAGAAGCAAGAGGAATTCAGAGGCCAGGGATCCAGTGGCCTCTGAATAACAAATCACTTACAGGATTTAACTGGGTTTTTTTCAGATGGTAGCATCTTCAGTGATTTAAGCACTTTCAACTATGCCCCATCTCTTAAGAGTTTCCTGCTTCTCGCTTCTCATCACTGCTAATTTGAGGAATAACTTTCTAGCACATGAACCTTTGAGGAACACACTCAAATCAAATCTAAATTATAGCATGCTATCATGACTATTTTCAAAGAAAATTAATTCATGAAATTTATTTACTAAAGAGAAAAGTAAAAAACTTCATCTATATTATTCTGTTAATAGTTAAGTAGATTTTTTTTTCCTAACTATAAATTTTGATGCCTACAAATATCCTCTATTCATTGATTTTACATAATGGTTTAATATTGTGGTGCTTTTAGAATATGAACACAAATGGTTTGGTAATATTCCCTTCAAAAGACGGAGCCGTATCCTTGTCCCCTTGCTATAGGTTTGAATTTAGTGACTCTTCCAAGGAATAGAATAATACAGAGGATATGGTGCTTCTCTCTTGTTCTTTCTGGGAATCACTTATTCTGGAAGAAGCCCCTCATTGTGTCACAAGGACTTTCAGGATGCTCTGCGAAGAGCTTCATGTGATAAAAAATTGAAACCTCCTAACAATCAGCTAGAAATGGAGGTATTCTTTCCACAACTGTCTGAGTGAGGTGTCTTGGAAAGGGATCCTCCAGCCCCAATCAAAACCAGCTAAGATTAATAACTCTACCCAGAGTTAGTCTTAACTGCAACCTCATAAAAGATCTGAGTCAGAACCACCCAGCTAAGTCACTCTCAAATTCTTAATTTAGGGGCTGGGGATGTGGCTCAAGCGGTAGCGTGCTTGCCTGGCATGCGTGCAGCCTGGGTTCGTTCCTCAGCACCACATACAAACAAAGATGTTGTGCCTGCCGAAAACTGAAAAAAATAAATATTAAAAAAATTATCTCTCTCTCTCTTAAAAAAAATCTTAATTTAGAGAAACTATGAGATAACAAATGCTTTTGGCTGCTCAATTTGTTATGTGAGTTATTTGTTATGCTGCAACAGACAGCCAATACAAATAATTACACTGTTATTCTCAAATAATGTATGTGACCATTTTTAAAATGCATATTTTAATTCCTGTATTATGAGTCTCTCAAATGAGTTTGAAGCTATAAACCTTGAATAATTATTATTTCAGCATTATTGTTTAAAAATATTTTGAAGAAATAGAGGATGACAGAACTTTGATAGTGTTCTAGAGGTTGCTGATTAAAAGGTACAGAGTTAGTAATTCAATAAAGTAATCTTTATTGCTCTGATTATAATCGAATCTGCTCTATTAATTTCTTTTTTACTAAAATAATTATTATTCTTAGGAAAAACTCTAAGTTGTTTTTTTTTTTGAGCAATTAGAAAATGCAAGCAAAAAGATAAAACCATGTTAACCCACACTCAGACACCATATAATCTTGTCTTTTTGTACATATAATTCTATTGGGTGTATCTTTATAAATGTTATTAAAATGTGAGATCATACTATAAATATTTTCATTTTAACACAAACTTTTTCATGTCACTGAACATTCATCCCTAATGCAGTCTTTAAAAAAACACCATGATTCCAAGCTCACATTGCCTTAACCATTCTAGATCAAATTAATACTATCTTTAGCCTTAGCAGCTTACAGTAGCCTACTAAGTACAGAGGATTTCACCCTTGCCCCATACAGAAACCAGGTTGATCCTTCTAATATATCAATAAAGTCATATCACTTCTTACTCTAAGAAAAACCTAAAATGTATTCCCTCGCTATCCATCTTGCCCTGTGAGATCTGGCTTCTATCTTCGTCTTGACTCTCATTTCCTATAGGTTTCACTAGCTATGTAGCCTGTTGTCAGGATCATATGCTTAGCGCTACTGGAAAATATTTCTCCCAGATATTCATTTACACATGTTCTTTGTCCTTTTTTCACTTTACTCAGATAATGGCTCATGCCTGTAATCTCATCCGTTGGGGAGGCTGAGGAAGAAGAATCACAATTTTAAAGCTAGCCTCAGGCAACTTAGTAAGACCCTATCTCAAAATAAAAATTTAAAAATCCTGGGGATGTTGCTCAGTGGTTAAAACCCCCTCTGTGTTTAATCCCTGGTACCAAAAAAAAAAAAAAAAGGTTATTTCTCATTCTAGAAATGCCACTCTCAAAAAAATGACCTTTGTTACTACTCAGTTTTCAAAAATATAATTGTTATTATCTAACAATGTTTTATCTATATTTGCTTCATCATTTAACACAATATATTTCTAACCTGGTATTTGTCTCCCTGAACTGTTACTTCTAACAATGCAGGGACTTTGGCTTATTTACCACTTTATCACTCTTGCTTAAAATAATACCTGGTGCAAGACAGGTACTCAATAAACATATCTTAATTAAAAGGGCATATGGATATATAATTTAATAATATATATTAATAATTACTGTCTATTTAGATTGCTATAATTTTTTTCCTATTTTGAGCAAGTACACCACAAATTTTGTATTATACATATCATAAACAAGATTATTTGTTCCTAAGATTTAGGAGTCAAAAGATAAAATTTGTTTTGTTTTGTTTTTGATATGATTTGCCAAACTGCTCTCCATCAATAACTTGTTGCATTTATATTTCTCCTCAAACCAACTAGACACTTTCTTCTTAACTGGTACCCAATAATGCACATTTCCCCTTTTAAAGATTACCCATTGAAATAGGTGAAAGACAATTGCTATTTAAATTTCTTTTTTAATTAATGAATGCCATTTTATTAATTTTCATATGAATATTATCCACTTACAATTATTATTCTTTAAAAATCTGTCTGTTCATATTCTTTGCCTAGATTTCTACTGATTTACTTTATTCACTGGTAAATACTCTACACTAAAAATAAGGACCTATTGTCTAAACCATGATTTGCCTTTCCATTTGGATAACTGTTTTCCTTTTTTCATTTGCTGAACAGACATTTAAATTTTATACAAATTAATTATACTCGTCCTCTGATTCCTTAAATGGTTTTTAACTTTGCTGTTAGTCTTTCAAAGTTTCCAGTCCACTCTAAAAATATTCACCTGATATTTTCTTTCAGTATTTAATTTTTTAAAAAACAAAGAAAAAATACACCATTACAGAATGGAATTTGAGAGTGGGAACTTTTACTGCTTTTTAAAATTTTCTTCCTTAACTGTCTACCCAGAAGTTCTTCTTTTAATACTTCATCCTTTCTCTACTGATGCTGATGGGGATGTGAAATTGTGAGCCGGCACCTTTTCATATTAAAAATACAAACGCACATGCACACACGCAGAGCTTCCGTACTTCTGCTTTTCCTTTAACAAAAATTTAGGACCCGAGACAATCCCATCCTTGAGCCAATCACCCCTAAGGAGCAGAGAAATACTTTTTATTGACATGTCTAGTAACTAATTTGATATTCCTTGTCCAATTATTTGGTATTAGTACTGGAGTAATACTGGATACAATTAAGAGAATCAACCCAACCTGGCCACCACAACAATTCACTCAAAACGAAGTTGATTATCACTTTAATAAAGATTGAGAACAGTACGTCAGGGTTCTCTTCTGAAAGCCCTCGGAATTCTAAGCGTCCGGTGGGAAAGAAGAGACACAGGAAGAACCCATGCAAGACTCGGTCAGATCTAGGGAGAAACACTCTGCCCCAAGAGCCTATGGAGCTCATGAAAACAGGTAGTAGGGGACTCCACACAAGTCTTCCTCATTCAGCTAGGGGTGGTCCCGATTTTGAATGATAATAGCTGGGATTTAAATACCCTGGGTGATTTAGATGCACATGTAAAATAAACAGGAAAACTGTTTACAGTCGCTCTGCAGCCTTAGAAAGTAAAATACTTAATTCCTAAGTTCCGGAGGGCGGTTTGTTTTAGTGTGTGAGGGGGAGGGAGGTTCTCGATTTTCACTTGAACTTTCCTAACGCTCGTTCTGGTGGTCCAAAGCGACATTGTTTCACTGGGGGAACCCAAATCTTTCAACTGATTTTTCCCCAAAGCCAAAAAAGCGGTAGACAAAGCTAGTAGGAACGTACTAACAGCTTTAACTTATACCAGCCCCCTGGGGACTGGCGAGGTACCAGAAGTGTGAGAAAAGACATCCCGGGGATAGGTGCTTGCGAGACATTTCTGGCCAACAGCTAAGCGGCTTAGCTGTAAGGGAGCGCAGTCTTCCCCCTCGAAGAAACATCTTTGACTTCCTCCCATCCAGGCCGCATCTTTTTGATACGGTCTTTAATTCCACTTGCAACCTCCTCCCAATGGAAGACAATTTTGAGGATCGGCTCGAGGTTGCTTCCGTGTTTCCCTAGCAACCGTGCTATAAAGATGGCAGGAAGAGCTATGATCACGTGCTCCAGGAACTTCCGTGTTCCCGTCGTGACTTCCGGTTGTCAGAATTCCCCCAGACGCAGCGGCTGCCGGGGAAGGGGAATTGTGCGGCCCTAGGTCGCCGTTGCCCCGGTGGTGGTGGTGGGCTCCGGGTGGGCTCACTTCATTCAGCCCCTGCTGCGATGCATCCGCGGCGCCCGGACGGATTCGATGGCCTGGGCTACCGGGGTGGTGGCCGGGACGAGCAGGGATTTGGTGGCGCTTTCCCTGCCAGGTCCTTCACCTCCGGGTCGGACCTAGGCCACTGGGTGACTACTCCCCCAGACATCCCCGGCAGCCGCAACCTGCACTGGGGAGAGAAAAGCCCGCCCTACGGCGTGCCCTCCGCCTCCACCCCGCACGAGGGCCCCGCGGAGGAACCCTTTCCCGGCGGCTGCAGTACCAGCGTGCAGGGGCAAAGCACTGGTGAGGGGCGCGCGCCAGAGGCCCGGGCGGGTGGATGGGTTGGCTGAGCGGTGCGATAAGCCCGCAGACCCCGGAAACTGTGCAGAGGCTCCCTCCCCGGTGCCTTCTTGGCCTATCGCGCTGCACACCCTCTGCCCTCTTTTCGTCCTCTGTTCAGGAAGTGAGCCTCCTCCCTCTTAACGCATTCGTTTTCTCCGGGATCACCTCCAAAAAAGACATCTGCCTTAGCTATAGGGTGCATAGTAGGAAATTTTAGGGGTTGTGCCAATGATCTGAATCAAGGAAGAAAGGAATTTGGTTATTTGTTGTTACTTAATTCACTTTGGCAGCTTTTATTATTATTTTTTTCTTGATTTAATTAATGGCTTTAGTTGTAGCTTTGTGTTCCAGAAAGAGAAGCTTTTCACAATTGTCAAATTAGGGTTAAGGCTAGCTCTGCCACTCATAAACTGGACTTCTTTTTTAATATCTGGAAGACTTAGTTTTTCTCATCTCTAAGACTTGTAGAATACCTGATAGGGTGTTTTACAAGTTTTGAGATGACTTGCATAAGGTCTAGCAGGATATGGAATACATAGTAGTTAATACAGTATCCATTTTCTTCCTTTACCCTTTTCATCATGGGAGATCTATTTGTTTTTCAGATCTCTAGTCTAGAAATTTTCCTTCCTGTAATTTTCCTTTTTCCTGCTTTCTTGGTGTAAAAAATCCACTTAAGAGTTAGAAACATTGATACAATTACATGATAAAACTTTGGAGTCAAAAGACATTTATTCTTTGCAGGAAGTAAAGTGAGAGGTATTTTTGACTGCAACACTGCATGATCCAGATATTTTCAACATCCATTTTATTCATAAAATGTAAATATATTTCATTCCATTCACCTGGAATTATTAGGATAACAGATTAATTATATTCTCACATATTAAAAATATTCTGCACATTAGCCTTATACTAATATCCTTGACTATTTTATTTGTTTTAACTGGAAAAAAAACTTGAATGATTTGTTTAATAAGCTAATGAAGATGTGATGAAAGATCAGTGACATAAAATTTACTTTTTGACTCCTACCTAATTTTCTTTCCAATGTGTCCTGCTGGTTCCACAAAAATACTGCAAACCTTTTGTAAGTTATAAATTAAGTAATTCAAAATCTATATATAATTGTTACAGTTATCTTTTTGGGTAGTAAAGTTTGTTTTATCTTTTCCTAAGTTATGTCTTGATGGCTAAAATGGGGAGAAGCTTGTTATCAAAAGCAGGCGTTTATTTTGCAGCTGTTACTGGAAGGTAAGTGTAATTTTATGAGAAGGACAGCCACCTGAAAAACTTACACAGTTATCAGCAGGTTTATACCTTCCTAACTCCTTCCAGAAAATGTGAGTGGCATTTTCTCTTAAAGGAAATATAGAGGATGCGTTATGTACCTTAAAAGGGTAGAAGCTGAAATGAGGAAACCATCCTTAACATGGCAAAAGAAGTGTTTTTGACTAACTTTCAAGGTGATGCATTTTCCCCAAGAATGGGGTTGTTTGTCCTTCTCACTTAAAGGAATAGGGTCAGCGTTGCTTCATTTGAAAGAGCAGAGTCTGGGAGGGGAAGATAATTATTGTTTTTAAGTATTGTATTATAGCTGATATTAAATGTCAGGTCCTCTGGGTTTGTGATAGTTTACCTTTATAAATTTTGTGTTCTTTAGGTAAAAGAAAAACTTTTTTCTTTTTTGACATATACATAGTAATGTTTCCAGCTGTGAACTTCTGGAGTAACATTACAGAAATGCCATTAGAAATAGCACATATGTACAGTTACTAACCCATCACAGAGAATGAATTAAACAGCTACTCTCAAACTAAAATTTTAGGTTACAGGAGAAGATAGCTGTATTTATCCATTTTGGTGACCTAAGTACTCTTTCAAATTGATAATTTTGAGATGCTTTGCTTGAAAAGAAATGGTCTAAGAAAGTACTCTAGATCAGTAACAGTGAATAACTAGTTTTTACATCTTGAGAAGTCAAGTTGTTTGTGTATGAGGACCATCCATAAATGATATTTTAATTGACTGAAGTCAGAAGTTAAAACTGGTAGTCCATAGGTTCTATCTGCATACAGTTTGACTTGTCCCAAACAATGTTTTAAACTTTTTCAAATAGTTGCCAGGGTAAATACTTAACGATTTGGAAGATTTTTCTAAAATTGAAACTGTCTTTTTGAAAAAAATCACAACTCAGAAACTCTGGACCCTCAGTTGCATGTGGCAACATCATGTGGAGCTAAAAAATAATTGTATCTTTAAGGGGTCACGCCTTGCAACTTGCCACAAGCTCCAGCAGTTCTTCACTTACTCAATTTACCTCCCTGACTCCTATCAGAGTTTGAGTTTGAATAAATGAATAACATGTTAATACAGGAAAATATATTTGTTTTTATAGTAAATCTCAATATTGGTTATGAGTAATCTTATTCTTTTTATTTTAGAACAGTTGAATAGATTTGCTGGATTTGGTATTGGACTTGCAAGGTAATATTTTATAAGTTTTTAATTTATAATATTAAATGATTAGTATTTCTCCTTTATAGTTTCTCTTTAGAGCAGCAGATTAAATCTTCAGTAATATTTTGCAGAAAAAAATTTTATTTAAAATCTATAACATGGTTTTTTCCCAGTAAGTATAGAAGCTAGTCAGTCGTTCAGCTTCTAAGTACAAAATAATTTTCTAATGAATATTTTAACAATTTTCATGGATCTATAAAAAGAATAGAATCAAATGTAAACTTAACTCCCACCCTATCAAAAAAAATATTTGTGCATTGAACTTTTTCTCTAAACATTTGAATGCTACCAAGGTATTTAGTGGCATAGAACCTAGATTTTATCTATAATCACCATTTGGGAATCAGCTTTACATTTTATTTGTAATAATCATTTTATTTAAGGAAATTATCAGTCTCAATCATTGTGATTTTTAGTGAATACCAGTTTCATAAATACTGGATTTGCATTAGGCTTACATTTCTTGCCAGAATGACTTTCATTATTAAAAACATTTTCACCAAGAAAAAATACCTTATTGAATAATTGAACCTAAGGCTGTTAATGTCTGTATAAGTAAAATCTGTGTTTTTCATTCTTTTCCAGCCTTATTCTTTCTACTTAAAGTTTAGTACATATAAAATAGTGTTAATTCCACATGCAATTATGTTTGTTTGTGTGCATGTATGTATATGTCAAAGCTTAAGCCCACTGGTATAATTATTTTGCAGGGAATATTTTCAGAAGAAATATTTGATACATAAAATACCAATTAAAATGGTCATTAAAATATTATAAATTAAATGCCGAGTACGTTAAAATCAAAACCTTAGAATGAGATTTGTGAAGAACAGATGGCTCTGCCGAAAGAACTGTTCATAAGATATTTTCTGAAAGAAATTGAAATTAAACAGTATGGCATTTTCCATGTCAAGCATACAGAGATCTATTTTCATCTTCATACTAAAGATATTAATATTATGTATTGTATCCCTTATTTAGCACTTTGCAGATCTGGTTTTCATTCATTATATTGAATTTTGTTATTGATAGAATCATTTGCAAATATATCTAGATATTTCTAAAATGCTTTAATTTTAAGAATCAAGAACATAAATAATGTGTGATCCTGAAGGCAAGAATAATTTCACATATGTGTATACATGTCTAAAAATATGTATAAATAAAATTTGTATGTAAACACATATGCATAAATTACTTTTATGTAGTCTCTTTACAGAAAATGTACTGGCCCATCCTTGCATTGTTCTACGCCGCCAATGTCAGGTAAATGTGATTTCCATGACCTACTGAGACAATTCTAATCCTGATAGAAAGTGCAGAATTCAGATAAATGACATGAAATCATGTAATTATTATTCTGTGTAAAATGTTCCAAAATTTGTAAAATAGCAATTCTCAAAATATTTTTCTCAAAACTTCTTTTTTTAAATCTTAAAAAATTATTAAGAATCCTAAAGAACTTTGGTTTATGTGGATTGTATTTGTCAATATTTACCATTTCAGAAATTAAATCTGGGAAAATTTTACTGTTCTTAATTCATCAAAATAATAAATTTAATAAATAGTATCATAAATGCTATATTTATGAAAAGTAATTATGTTTCTGAAAATGTCTTTAATGTCAGGCATAATAGGAGTTAGGTGGTTTTTCACCTTGTTCCACAGTCAGTCAGTTGCAATGGTCTGTTTTAAAAGTAATAAGAAGGTCCAACATTGTGCACACATATCATTAAAAACAGAGTGGTATTTTATATCCTGTACAGATAATCCTGGACGTTCTTTGAAATTAAATCAAAACTCATCAAGTGGTAGTTTCTTAAAGGTTTTTGCATTGTGAAATCTGAAACCACATAAACTTTATATACTTTGCTACATTAAAAAAAAAAATCCACTGCTATATACTGCATCTTGATTGGTTATTTTTACTATGCATGATTTCATATCATCAAACATTGTTTATTTGAAAAATATTGAATCAGTTTTTTATATGCCTTGTAAATATTAGAACCTTTGATTATACAAAAGAAAAAGTCATCTTCTTTAAAAATACTACTTATCAGAAAATCTTCATTTACTATATGCTTTTGTTTGTAGATACAGGTTTCCTAAAAATCTGATTTGCACTTGAAAACCTAAATTTATTGACAACAAATACTGCCATTTGGACTTTTTAAATCAACAAGCTTATTTTATTCATTTCTAAGAGCATATTTGTGCCAAGTATGAATAACTATAGTCTGTCAATGAGGTTTTCAAGTAAAAATGCTTTTCCATGAAAAAAAGTGGCTAGGTCAGCTTGCAGTTCTATCAGATAAGTGCTTTCCCTCATGACAACTATCTTACTTGTTTTATAATATAGTGTATTAATTGGAAAGATGTATACTCAGAGTGAAGATTTCATAAGATTAATCTTATTTTTTGAATGTTTCATCTAGAATATTCTTAAGTCTAGATTGCTTTTTGCTTACTTTTGAGTATGTGGGGTGAAGAATCCAACAAGTACAAAAATATAATTTGATGCTTCTTCCTTGATTCATGCTCAAGAGCTTGCAGTTTTATCCACCAAAGCTTTTGCACCATTAATGAAAATAAAATATTAATGCAGTGGAAAAGGCAAATCATTAAATTTTTGAACTAGTTGATCCTCTGATAGGGTAATGGAGCCCTCAAGGACCAGTGGCTCACACCATGGCAGATGCTGGTATCATATAACTTACCTCCCCTACAATAGTTATCCCCATATTTGTTTGCTGGTATAATTCAAAACAATATAAATCATTACAAAATTAATGTTTATGCTTAGCGCTGAAAAGTGTGTATAAAGAAATAACTATTTAAATAGCACTGACAGTATGTACCCTAGGACAGTATATTTCTGACATATGTATTTTACATAATGATAGTATTACATTGTGATCCCAGTATATGTTGTTTTGACCCCTTTATCTGATTTCATAGTTTATCCATCAAATTCAATTCTATAGTTTGAAAAATGCTTGTATATAGTTCTAGTGAGTAAGGAAACAAGTGCCAAACAAGAACCCCATTATATAGTCTACCTTACTATGTATATTATGCATTTATCTTCATATTATATTTATATAATCATAGATATTGTTCTTATTGTAGGTTAAAGTTTGTTCAAAAGTCATTTTGCTTTTGTGTAATTTATGGTAACTTAGAATTTAACGTATGTTTATGCTGCAACTCTGTATTTTTCATGGCCTTGTTATTTCTTAACAACATGATAACAGAAAAAATAGTAGTATCTTTTTTACAGGTTAATTACCATGCTCGGCATTATCATCTCACACCATTTACAATCATCAACATTATGTACAGCTTCAATAAAACTCAGGTGAGAATTAGTGTATAGATACTATTAAAACTGTATATAGTTATTTGTATTTGGTAATCATTAATGTAAGAATAATTTTTTTAATATGTTAATGAAAGTAACTCTTATTAGAGTAAAACTGATATAGCTTAGTAATGTTGTCTTTTCAAATCTTCAAAATTTCAGTTAATTCAGCAGAAATACTGCTTAGCAGCAGATAAGTTAAGGTCTCTGCCATCAAGAGAATTATAATTTAGTCATGGAGACAAAAACACAAACAGAAGATTGTGACACAGTAAGATGCAATATTAAAGCCAAGCATGGTGGCACATACCTGTAATCCTAGCTACTTGGGAGACTCAGGCAGGAGGATCACAAGTTTGAGGCCAGCCTCAGCAACTTAGTAAGATTTTGCCTAAAAATAAAGGCTGGGGTGATAGCTCAGTGATAAAGTACTTTCCTAGCATGGGTGAGGCCCTGGGTTCCATCCTCAGCACCACATAAAAACAAATAAATAAAGGTTAAATTAAAAAAAAAAAAAAAGGACTGAGATAGAACATCTCTGGGTTCAATCCCCAGTACAACCAACCAACAGCGCCTCTAATACATCTATTAGATACAAATAGATGTATTGGAGATATAAAATGATATCAGAACATAAAAGAGAGGTGCCTTATCAGAAGTGGGATTAAACACAGGGGATATGGCTTAGGAAAAACTTTGGAGAAAGGGTCTCAGAGTTGTGAACTTATTGTCAATAAGTCTACTTCTGAATGCAGAGGATAGAGAAAAGATTTTATAAGTAGATGTGCCAAGGAGAGGTTATAATATTTGGGAATGAATTTAATGCAATACAACATGAGTTTGGAACAGAGATCAGAGTAAGATGAAAAAGTGCATATGGAAGTAGATAGGATCCAGATCATAGAAGGCCCGAGATGATTTACTTGATCTTAAAATCTGTAGGAATATCATTGAAGATTTTTTATTAGTAACCAAAGTATTTTGAGCAAACTTGGGTTTTTGGTAGTATTCATCAAAATTTAAAATGTTCATGTTCTTTGTCTTAATAATTTAATTTCTAGACACTTTATTCACATAAGTGTATATGGATATGTATAGAAAATGTATGTGTAAGGATGTCATTTTGCCTTTGCATATGGTAAGGTTGGAAATTATTCAATAGCCAGTAAAATAATTATGTTTATCTGGTGAATCACCATCTAGCCTTTAAAAATAAGAAAGTAGCTTTGTACTGATACAGAATGATCTCTGGGTTATTTTTTTGGGTTCAAGGTAGTTCTACCTATTAAAAATGAACAAGCTTTAGATAGGGCAAAGGGAAGTGAGGGGGCATGGGAGTAGGACAGATGGTGGAATGAGATGGGCATCATTACCCTAAGTACATATATGAAGACATGAATGGTATGATTCTACTTTGTGTACAACCAGGGACATGAAAAATTGTGTTCTATATGTGTAATATGAATTGAATTGCATTCTGCTATCATATATCACAAATTAGAATAAATAAAATTTTAAAAATGAACAAAATGAAAACATTTCTGTATGTGTACATACACATAGAGATATAGTTGAATATGTATAAATAATATCTGGTAGATAAGTAATAAACTGCTGCTCAGGTACTAGGATGAAAAAGAAACAAAATTTTCTCCTGCTATCTTTTTAATTTTGCTGTGTCTATAACAACATTTATATAAACATGAAGAAAGGAATATAACTGATGGCATTGTAAAAAGGGGCAAGACTAGAAGCAGTCATTCATTTAAGTAATGGTTTAAGGGTGGAGAAAAGAGCATGCATGATTTTGTAAGAGTAGAATTTACAGAACTTGGCTTATTAGATAAAACAGTGAGAAGAGTGTTATCTGGATAATTATTGATCACTAGGATGATGAAGCTACCATCTAAGGGAGAGGAGAAATACAGCACAGAAAGAGTGGTATGAATGGATACAATCCAGTTTGTAGTTTTATATATTTTGAGTTACCTATGAGTCATCCAATTGGTAGGACTAGTAGGGACTTGAATATATGGATATTAGAGATATGTAATCAATTAATTGATCATAATTGAGTATATAATTAATTGGAGTGTTCATCTTGGCCTAAACATAGACCATGTAAACATTAAAATAATGTTTGAAATTATGTTTTAATGATGGAAATTAAATTAGTTATAGTTCTCTAATATTTCTAGTAGAATAATACCTATCTAGAAAATATCAGTAAAAGTTTAGTATCAAGTTTGTTAAAGACCTTTTGTGTTTCGTATTAAAGCATTAACAGAAATAACAATAAATTTTGTTCATTTTAGGGACCAAGAGCCCTATGGAAAGGAATGGGAAGTACGTTTATTGTACAGGGAGTCACACTTGGAGCAGAAGGCATAATTAGTGAATTTACACCTTTGCCAAGGTACCTTTTTTTTAGCATTTTCTCAATATTTATTTCATATTAAATTTTAATTAAATATAAAACTTCTGAAAGTACTTTGATCTGAAAACTTATGTGAAGTAACTGAGAATCAGACAATAAAATTGTATTATTAATCATATCTTTTTTCATTAGTTTGTCATAAAAAAAAGTTCTTCTTGTTTTAATATCTCTTAAGATATATCTCCCAGCTCTTTCTTTTTTGGGGGGTGGGAGTGGGTACTAGGGATTGAATTCAGAAGCATATGCCCACTAAACCACACCCCCAGCCCTGATTTGTATTTTATTTAGAGACAGGGTCTCACTGAGTTACTTAGTACCTCGCCATTGCTGAGGCTGGCTTTGAACTCGATATCCTCCTGCCTCAACCTCCATAGCCACTGGTATTACAGGTGTGCACCACCACGCCCATCTCTTCCAGCTCTTTCTGCTGTGTATCAGCAACTAACTGCCAACTAAGGGACAATATGAATATGAAAGCAATTCCCATTCTCGAAATAGCAAGTTTAGTTGGATTGGAGTACATTGTGTGATTCATGCTATAATTAAACCCCTTTCAGAGACTAAGGGATATTTTACTTGGAATTACTGGCAAGGATTTAAAAAAAATAACTGGAATCTTATTTAGATCTTGAATTTTGAATAAGAATTGACTTGGCAGAAAAGGAGGTAATTCCAAGAAAAGGTGACCACATGCCCAGAGCTATAGAGGTTAGATGGCTGGGCAGTAGAAAAATGACCTGTGCTTGGAGTATTGGGTGTGTTTGTGGTGGAATATTAAGAAAGGAAACTGTGGTGCTAGATTAAAGTGTGATTATATCCTTGTAATATTTTATTCTCTATGTGATTGGGAATCTAAGAATTAATTTTTTAATATATGTGTTATAATAAAAGCTATTTTCAAGTGATAGTATAAAAAAATGACTAATACAGAGAGACTTGTGCAGAACTATTTTAATAATCTAGGCCAGACTGAGGTGGTTCTGAACTGTGGAACAAAACAGAAAGCAGTGAGTTAAATGGACATTTCTAAAGTTTAATTGATGATAATTAATGTTAGATTGAGAATGGAGGTATGAGAGAGTAAATCATCAGCAGTGATTGAGATGTCTATATAGGCAGTGTTAACTAAGATGGGAACTTCATTAAGAAGAATAAACTGGAGTGGGAAAGTAGATATGAAATTTAATTTTGAATAAACAAAGTTTGAGATTCTTTCAAAACATCTAGGGAACATATCTAATAGGTGATTGCCTGTGGATGAGAATTGTACAGAAAATTTGAAGTGATGACATAACTTCAAGTGTGTGGCATAAAAATTGCATTCGAAACATTAGAATGGGTGTGTTTTACCTGAGGTGAATTAGGGTGTAAGTCACCTAAATTGTAGACTAAATGACATTAAGTAGACCAAAGACAGAATCTCAAGCAATTTATGTGTGTGTATATGTGTATTGTGCTCATGTGTGTGGTTGTATGTGATGAGAGATAATAGAGGATTAAATAAATTAAGAACATGTGCGGGGTCTCTTTATGAAACCAGTTCCGAGATTATTGGTGAAAGAAAGATAAGCATTGGAGTCATGGTAAAAAAAAAGCATGAGAATAGTAATGTGCAGTTGAACACTCTCAGTAATGGGTAACCAGGGAATCTTATGAAGAATATATGAAAGGAATGTCAACAGATGATGTTTGAAATCATAAATTTGTTAGGTGCATACTCATACAGAACACCTCTAATGCTACATCAGTCCATCCGTGGCATTAAAGGTTTCAAAAGGCTCATTAATCCAAAGTTAGCCCTTAGGTTAAATTTTTTGGATTGTCAAGAATGTAAGGCAATTTAATGCATAGCCACTAGTATATCACAGACTTTGGATTTAATCTTTGTAGGAAAGGAAATGATAGAAACTGATATCAGGCTTTTTCCCAGTGTGATTACTTTCAATGAACATCATAATCTTGAAGTTCTTTAATACAGCTTTGCTAAAAGGTTAGGGACAAAACAAAGATTAAAAAGGTTAGAAAGATTTGGCCACCTAAAGGTTTTCTTGTCTCATACTTAAAAGACTGAGTGTCTGCTCTTGACTAACCATGTTCACCTTAATTGCTTTTTATATCACAAGATGAGTTCAGAAGTAAGTTCTTGTAGGAAAATATTCTTGAGGTTCTCTCATAGACACTAAAATTCTTTAAAAATTTAACGAAACACAGGAAGTTCAACTTAGTAAAGTAGGAAAATCAGCCCTTGCAGTCAGAGAGCTATTGGTTCTGGTCCTGGCAGCCTCACATTTTACTTCTAAGACCTTAGGCAAGTAATGCTCCTTCTCTAAAGCTGAGGTGAAAAGTCACATTGACTTCAGGTTAAAGGGAAGGAAAAAGAGAAATGGAAATGGGGAAGCATAGAATTTTATAAAATTTTGTCATTTTTCCTAGTCAGTAAATATATAGACCTGTCAGTTGTATGAGAATGTATTTTCATCATTTTGAATCTTACTAAAGAAGATATGAAAAGTTACCTTTCATGTATTGTTCTACCTAGAAATTTTGTTGAAAATTCCACTATTAATTCATTTATTTATTTACCTAATAATTCTTAGTGCCTACTATGTGCCAAGTTCTGTTCTAGAAATCAGATTGACAATGAGGAAAAGAAACCAAAGGTACCTTTTACTGAACTCAGTATCCAGTATAAGAACATGTGTTAAGTAAAATAGTCACACTAATCAAATAAATTATTATAAATTGAATTTTTTTCTCTGGAGGAAAGAGGGTGTGGGTCTGTGAGAATAGGTTAGAAACAGCTTTACACTTATGAAGAACTCTGAATGTGTGTAGGAGAGACAGACCAGTTTGTCTAAAAATGCTGTGGCAGTGAGAAGCATGGAGAATTCAGGTAATTGAGAGAAGATTCATGTGGCTGGAGGCCAAAGGGCAAGGTAGAGAGTGGTGTGAGAGAACACTGCAGAAGTAGGTGGGTGCCAGAACATGCATGGCTTTGTAAGTGACTTTAAGAATACTGAAGAGTTGGGCTGGGGTTTTGGCTCAGTAGTAGAGCGCTTGCCTAGCACATGAGAGGCCCTGGGTTTGATCCTCAGCACCACATAAAAATAAATAAGTAAAGGTATTGTGTCCAACTACAACTAAAAAATAAATGTTTTTTTTTAAAAAATAAATAAATAAATAAAACTACTAAAGAGTAAGGTCAGTGACTTCAGATTTATATTTTCAAAGAATCATCAGAGCTGTAGACTATAAGATTGTAGAAGGACCAAAGTGAATAAAAGGAGACATTTTAGTATGGTATAACAGTAATCAGGGTGACGAATTATATTACCTAGGACCAGGTTGGTATTTTTTGAGATGGACATTAAGTGGACAGTTTTGAAAGATACTCAGGTAAAATTGATGGACCTTGTTGATGGTTGAAGAATGGTTGATGAAAGAAAAGGCAATATTAAGGGTATCTTCTAGAATTTTGGTTTGCATAACCAACTGGATGTCATGAGAGAAACTATTTTCTGAAGTGTGTAAATATTTTTTATTACTCCTCTTCCTCCTTACAGGCTTGATCTTTCTTGGGGAAAAGCAGGGTTGTGACAAAAACAGCAAAGCAAATAACTTAGAGCAATTAACAGAAGTTACCACATGAGAAGGATGAATTATGAGTCTCCTAGACTGAGGTTTCTTAAATATACATGGTTATTAGAACAGATGTGACAGTAGGAATTCACTAGTTTTTAGGGTCTCTTTTTCTTTAAATACTGTTTATGGTCACATCACAGAGAAAACAGATCTCTAGTACATACAAAGTCATCAAGTTTATAGTTCCTCGGTAGCATTACTTTTTTTTAAGACAATTAACCTAGGATCATCAGTGATCTCTTTATCTATTACCAGACCCCTCTCAATCCTCCTGGAACCTCCCCTAGTTGGAATGAGTAGTTAGACTATATGTTGTTCTGTTCTAAAGGATCATTCATTTTATTTACATATGTTTTTCTCTTATAATTAACATGAGGTGGGAAGATTCTGTAACCAGGTTTATCTGTATAGGTCAGTTTCTCACAAATCACAAGTCAAACTCCAACTTAACTTTGATTCATCTCACATTTGTGGTTGCAAACATAAACATCTTGCAGCTTACTCCCGATAATTCCTCTGAATTCACTTTTTAAATATGAAATCTTCCTTAAATTCAGTTGATTCCTTTCTGATTAATGGTTCTCAAGTAGGAACACTAAGAGTATAAATCTGAAAGAAAAATTTAAATATGATTTTGCTCAAGTTCAGTTCATTTTTAGGTCCAGGTAGAATTTTCAGTAGGCAGTGTTAATAAGGCTGGCATACAGTGGTGAAGTTGTAACTGAAGGTAAATAAATTTGGTAGCCTTTGAAGCTATAATCTTGGGGAGAGTGCCTAGTACAACAAATGGAGTGAGAAAAACAGAGGGCATGACCCTTTAGGAACTCCAGTAATAGGTGGCTGTGTTAAGAAAGATATCCTTTAAAGAGAAAAAAGGGATAGAAACCAAATGATGACAAGCAAAGAGTGCTTTAAGGATAACAGAGGAATATGTGTACCTCATCACTTCTGAAATGTCAGATTAAGGTACAGACTTGAAAACAATCATTAGATTTAGTGCCTCAATATATACATATATATGTGTACTCAATACATATATATAAAGAGAGAGAGAGATAAAGTAACTAGTCTAATAAATTTTAATTTGATGCCCATTTGCAAGGGTAGATTTTGTGTGAAAATAGTAAGTTAACATATACATGTTTTGCAATAATGAAATTAAAAAGGCTTAATGTAAATAAAATGAATGATCCTTTAGGATAGAAAAACACATAGTCTAACTTCTCATTCCAACTAGGGGAAGGTTCCCTGAGGATTGAGAAGGGTCTGGTAGTAGATAAAGAGATCATTGATGATCCTAGATAATTGTCTTTAAAAAGTAATGCTACTGAGGAACTATAAGCTTAGTGACTTTGTATGTACTAGAGATCTGTTTTTCTCTGTAATGTGGTCATAAAGTTTTTTGTTTACCCTTTTGCCTAAAACACTTAAATATGCTAATTTAAATTTCTAGATCAATAAGTTTTATCCATTTTATAAACTAATAGGAAACATATAAGGAAGAGTCTCAGTTTTTTTTTTCTTTTAATATTGGGTCCTAAATATCCTGTTCCTCTCATTTACTTTAATAATCTTAAGAATAGTAATAATTACATTGTATTTAAAAGAAATAGTCCAGTCTTTACAGAGACAAAGTCACAGATCTATCTGTACACGGTGTTTATGAGTTTCATACCTAAAATCAACATTATAATAAGTAACCTGTGGTAATACTTTGAGTCCATAACCGTAATAACAGCATCAAAATGGTTTATAGAGCAAGGAGCATATTTTGTTTGTAGTAATAAAGTAATTGTCAGTAAGTTGGGAGGCCTAATCCAGGTTTTATATTTTGTAACTTAATCATTGAATATTCTTTTAGCTATGTTTCCTATGTTTTTCAGGGCAAATAAGTATCGCAGTATTGATTTGATCAGTGTTTGACCCAGAGGTTTCTCTGAGGTTTTAGAAATTAGTGTTGGTTATCTTGTTGTCTAAAAGTCTCTGCAGACATTCTAATCTCAGAAAATTGTGAAAAAGTGTGGTACTACTCATGCTGTAATTGTACTGTTTGTTTTTAGAGCACTTACCTTTTTAGTAAGTGCTTACCTTTTTAATTTAGGTAAGCACTTACCTTTTTAACTTTCTTTGTCTTTTTAATATGTTTATTCCTTTCCCTCCATAAATTTTTTCTATTTATCCATTTCAAATAGAAGGCATTTTTCTAAATTCTTGATGGTCATGGTAGAATGATACCAGTTCCTTGTAGCAGCAAGTCTCATCTATATACTTCTTTCTATCATTTATTCTCCCCCTTACCTATTTTTCTGTTTTTCCCTTTTGTATCTTCTCTATCTGAATTTTCTATTTTTCTGTTATCTTATTTACCTTCTCACTTATTCTCTGTGATTTCTCTCCTTTTTTACCTTTCTTTTAATAGAACTTTCACCCATTTTCCCCTTCTGTTCTATTCTAATTTAGCTTTCTTTTCTTTCTCCCTACTCCCCTCTGGTTTCCAGAGGTATCCAGAATAGCAGGAAGCACCATAGTCCTAGGTATCGGTTCCAGATCTGACATATGACCAATCTCTTGTGATCATGTCTTTAATTTTTCTAATCAGTAAAATAGATGGAACCATATGTGTCTGCTTACCTCACAGGATTCCTCCTATGTGAAGTGAGATGAAAGGAAGTTGAGGCAGACAGTACAGACTTATCATGTCATAGAGACTAGGGTTTAGAAGCTAGTTCCATACTAACCAGTTGCTAAGTTATAAACTCTCTCTGATTCTGTTTCCTCATATAGTCAATGGAGATAATAGTGAGGATTAGAAAGGATTCATGCAGAGCACTTTGTGTAGCACCTAACATAGTAGGTGTGCAAAAAGATAGTGGAACTTAGTAATAGTCACAAAACTAATGTCATTGTAATAATAGAAATTAGGTGCTGTGCAGAATGTCATGTGTCATCCTGCATTAGTTACTTTTATTTCTTTTTAAAATTTATTTCCTTCCTTTTTCTGTTCCTTGTTTCCCTTCCCATTCCTCATATACTGTCTTTTATAAAACCTATCATTTTCATTTTTTCTTTAGTTTCTCAATATGTTTATTTTGGTAGCCAGTTATACCTTTTCTCCTCTGTCAGCACATACAAAAACGCTTTGCATGTTTTCTCTTTTTGAACCACCACAATTATTTTAAGTCTTTTTCAGAAAGAAAAATCTTATTAGGATATATTTCTTTTACAGATTAAAAAAATTAGAAATTAATTGCCTTTTGAAAATTAGGCTAAATCAAATATTGTAAAAACATGGCTTTTGTTTTATTTAAATTTATTTTTACTTTTTAGGGAGATTTCACATAAATGGAATCCCAAACAAATAGGTGAACACCTTCTACTGAAATCGTAAGTATTGAAAATGGAATTTTTCTTGAAAATTTCCATTAATGTTTATAGTGTTAGAACTGAAAGATATTTTTAATAAATGTAGCAAAGGAAATTGGAGAATTGAAATCTTTATGGGAGTAGATATTCAAAGAACAAGTAATATAGAGTTTAGAAATAAAATCTTGACGTACATGTGATCTTTAATAAAATAGTACTTACTAATTTGCCAGGCTAAAATCACAGCCTAATTTTTCTCTTGTTCCTAGGAAGTTAGCAAAGACCTTTAATTTGTTTAACCCAAATTTGTAAGAAAAATATTACAGGTTGAGCATCCCTAATTAAAATATCTGAAGTCTGAAATGCTTCATTATCTGAAATTTTTGAGCACCAGTATGACACCCCAAATGTCATGAATTATTCTACACCTGATCTCATGTGACAGCTCACAGTCAAAATGCAGGCACACTAAAAAAAAAAAAAAAAAATCATATATGGTTATAAGGTGTATATAAAACATAAATTAACTTTGTGTTTAGACGTGGGTCCCATCTTTGAGATATTCCTTATGTATATGCAAATACACAAAAATCTGAAAAATATTCAAAATCTGAAACATTTCTGATCTTAAGCACTTCTGACAAGGGGTATTCAACCTGTATTTTATTGTTAAGCAGAAGATAAAAATTGATCTGTATAGTGATGATGAGCAAACTCAAAATCTTAGTGACATTGAAATGTAGTCCTAAAGGCACTTGGTAATTTTACAGCAATAATCATTTTTGTAGATTAGAATTTTACTCTTCACTTTTTAATTTTTTTTGAAGATTGTGAATTGGAAATTCCCCAGCTTGCTGGTTCCCTCTATGGGACATTCCAGCACATTATTACTTAGTGCTGTTCCATTCACCTTGAAAACCACTACTTACCAGGACCTGGCCCATAAGGGTTAGGTAAGTCCCACTTCGATATGATTTTAGATAACTATATTTTGCAGGCTTGCAAAGTTGTAATAATATTTAAGATTAAATACTGGTGATAGGTAACAACTTTGCAAAGCTGTACAATATTGCTTTTTAATACTAAAAGGGGACTTCACTCACCATCAAAGGCTAGCTTAGCTCTGCTGAATGGGAAATCTGGGGATAGATAATGATAATAGGATAATAACAAAAAAGTATACTGTTTACTGTCACTGAAAAGGCAAGCCATGGAATGGAGCCCTCATCCTGAATTTTAAGTACCAGATTTATTGAGCCTATATTTTATTGGTTTAAAATAAAATATGTTTTCTTTGCAGGCTGTCCTTGTTGTTATTGATACCTTTTTTTCATTTCTGTTGAATAAAGCATCCTGTAACAGGTTTCTGAAGTTAATATTTTTAGGCCAAAAGAATTAATAGTTGAAAACTTTAAATATAAATTAGCTGGTATGTTAAAGTAGTTATTTAAAATTTTAATATAAATGTCTTGTTTCAGTACGCTGATTAATTTGTTTTAATTTCTACAGCCTAACTTATATGGTGGCAATGCCTTTTTATTCAGCAAGTTTAATTGAAACTGTACAGGTGAGCTATTCTCGTATTGTCATTTTTATTAACTATTTTGGGAATACTAAATATATTGTGTATGATTGTTTAGCAAAAAAAATTAAGATGGTATCCTTTAAAAATTATTTATTCACAGATACCACACATGTATCACATATTCCTGCTAAGTGTATTTCCATTACAAACTTAGGTCTGCTTGTAGTTTTAATTATTTTTCTTCCTTCCATAGGCAGCTAGCTATGATCTTTATTCATACATTTAAAAACTCAACCTATAATTTGCTCTGAATACAAAAATTCTATAAATTTTAAGCCCTATGTACAACTCAAGGTAGTTACAGTTTATCAAAAGGCAGCATGTTATCTGAGCATAAGAATAATGAACAATAACCTTAACAGTGATAAGGTGGTCTCCATAAGTAGTTTACTAATAGCATTTCTTTTTAAATATGGCTTTTAAGAAACATTTAATACTGTTGGTGTGATAGGTACTACAAAGCTTAAGTAATTTTCTAACATTTTGTTCTCCTTGCTTGTTTTACTATTTCCAACCACATGGTGGCGCTTAGAGTACATTGAATTAAATGTCATACACTTTCTCACTGTGCCTTCCCTACTAGGTAAGATGAAGTTAGTCTTAACATCACTTTTACATAAAATACAGCTCTTTCAACACTTGTCTTCTATTTCCAACATCTGGTCCTCTAGCATATTTTTTCCCTCAGTATGTATGAGTGCCTCCTCTCCATAAAACTCCTACTGGATAAGCCTTTCCTCTTCTAATTATTCTTTTCTTCTTGGTTTCTTTTCTGACACAGTAGTTAATGTTTGATGTTTGTTTTTGTTAAAACTAACTTCACCTAACTGAAATTAACACCTTGTAACCCAAGCATATTTCCATTTCCTCTTGCATTTGGTATTGTATTGAATAAATGGCATAACCTTTCAGATAAATGAGAAAATCTGTAGAGTTTATAAAGATATCCTCACAATAGCCGGAAGTTAATTATTTAAGTAAAACAACTAAGCAATAAAATATATTTTGGGAAAACAAGTTTTAACTTGGAACAGACTCATGTTAGAATCACACTATTCTACTTAAATTAGGTCTGTGACTTTAGAAAATTTTTTGACCTTTTAAAATCTTAATCTTCTCATCCATTAAAGTGGGAATCATATTTTAATAACTGAATTTTAAAAATTAAATTCCCAGTATTTATATAAATGGCCAGCTCACAATATGATAGTTTTTCTTGTGTTTTTTTAACCCCATATCCTCCTCTACCCCTTGTGTTTTCTTCTCCATGTCCACTTGTTGCTCCCCTTTTGACTCCTTTTATCTGCTTTTCTAGAATTGTTCTTTTAGTATCTTCTTTTCTATTGTTTCTATAGTCTTATTTCAAGTTGTCTTTGATGCTTTTTTGTTTTTTACCCTATACTCATTATCCTAAGAGAGCTTGTTCATTCATGTGAATCATTTTAACTTTAACCTGCATCGCAAAATCAACTCATAAATACAATCTTATCATTCCTCTTCTCCCTTTCTATCAATGAGACTTTGTAATTTCACCCTAACTCAAAACTTGAGTTTTACGGAAACTTTTTTGTTTATATGTTTCTTTCATACTGCATAAGTAATCTGTTATCATGCTTTTCTACTTTAGATATCAACAAGTAGCTAAGATTTGCCCTTTTCTTCCCACAGTATACCATCATTGTCATCTCTCCTTTACTACATATCTAACTTATTACAGTACATTCTTTCTTCCAACTTAAAACTTAATGGTTCTTTGCCTTTGGGAACATTGTTTTCCTTGAAAAATGCATAAGTCTCCTGAAGAGAACCTACTGAAAGCAGTTGTTATCCATATCTTCATTAAGAATTCTTATTCTAGTTCTCTGCATTTTAAAAGTCCTTTTATGTTCATATGCAAGATTAGTGTTTTAAAGTTGCAATACTTATATCCCTCTGCTAATTAAGGATCTATATTGACTCAACTCACCAAGATCAATTTCAGACTTCTCAGCATAGTGTTAAATTAGGATTTTTATTGACTACCTTTTCGTCTTAAGTGCTAAACTTTTTTTAAACAATTCATCCAAGGGGCTGGGGTTGTGGCTCAGCAGTAGTGCGCTCGCCTGGCATGCATGCAGCCCGGGTTCGATCCTCAGCACTACATACAAACAAAGATGTGTGTCCGCCGAAAACTAAAAAATAAATATTAAAAAAAAATTTCATCCAATATTTATTGAGTGCTAGCCCCTATCAGATACTATAGTAGACTCTAGGATACAATAGCAAATAAAACAAGACATAAATAATCTGCTCTTATAGCACTTATATGCTTGTTGGGAAGACAGACATAAATAATATGCATATAAAGTATAGTGGATGGGGCTAAGTGTTAAAGCAAAAATAAAGCAAGGTTAGCAAATAGAATGTGTACTGGGTAGGTTGACTTTTAATAGTTTCTAAGGTCAGTGAACATGTCACTGAGAAGATTAAATTTGAGTAAATGTCTAAGGCTGAGAAAAACATAGATGTTTTGCAAAACATTCTGAACAGAGGAAAAGCAAGTGCAAAGACTTTCAAGTGGACTTGAATGCATTTGAGGAATAGAAAGGAGGCCAGTATGATTGGTGCTATCTAAATAAGCAGGGAGAGCAGGAATTATGTCTTGAGTGGTTAGAGGCGATATGATCATACAGGACATTGTAGTTCATTGTAATAATTTGGCATTTACTTAAAGAGAAATGGTAGGTTTGAGCAGAACAGTGATGTGATCCAACAAGTCTTTATTAGGATCTCTTTTGCTGTTGTCTTAAAAATAAGGCCTGCGGTTGTGGCTCAGTGGTAGAGCACTTGCCTAGCAAGTGCTAGACACTGGGTTGATTTTCAGCACTGCATATAAATAAATGAATAAAATAAAGGTTCATCAACATCTAAAAATATATTTTAAAAAATATATACTTGAGTGTGAAGGGAGCCAAGGTTAGGAATGGGGAAACAATAGACTAGTAGATTAGGTGAGCTAATTTTATTCTCATGCATTTAAATATCATCTATTTACCAAGGACTCCCACATCTGTATGTTCAACTTGGACCTTTTTCTTGTAAACCCTTTTCCAGTTTGATGCATAACATTTCTGAATTCTTGTTTTCCTCCCCCAAGTTTCTACCAGCAGCATTTCTCAATTCAATTCAGTAAAAGATAATGCTATTCCTCCAGTACCTCTGGCCAAGAGCCTTGGTAATCTTTGACTCTTATCTTTCATATACCAAATACAACCAATATTTCCTGTTGCCTGTAGTTAAAAAAAAAAAAAAAAAGCCTTTTTGTTTAGTTGTAGATGGACACAACACCTTTATTTTATTTATTTTCATATGGTGCTGAGGATCAAACCCAGTATTTTATACATGCAAGGCGAGTGCTCTGCCACTGAGCCACAATCCCAGTCCCTGTTGCGTATAATTTTAAAACCACAATTGAACTGCCCTACTTCCATTGTTACCTCCTAATCCAATCCACCCTCATTTCTTTGCTGGATGGTTATAATAACTTTTAAACTGGTCTTCCTTTGCCAGTATTATTTTAAAACCTAAATTATATTTATCTTCTGCTTAAAACTAAGCAGTTATCTCCCATCTAACTAGAAGCTCAAATCTATATAGTAGTCTATAAAGCATTATATAGCCCTTGTCTGCCTTTTAACTTCATCTTGTACAGTTCTATAGTCATTGCTGCAAACAAGTTATCCTTTTAGCTGTTTCTTTTCTGCTTCTTTATAACTCTGTAATTTATATCACAAGCTTATCTTATTTCCCAAATTTTAGTTAAGACTAATATTTATTGAGTGCCTACTTGGTACCAGGTCTTTCATTTATGACAACTCTGTGCATAAAAGGTAGGTAGTAGTGATTTGTACTTTGGTAAACTTAACACCTAGGAGTAGTTAAGTATCTGGACAATGCTTATAACCAGTAAGGAATGAAGGTAGGATTTAATCCCATGTTTAAGGACTCCTGAGCCCTATATTGCCTCCATAAGCAGATAAGTAGTAGTTGTTGCTTCTGAGTGAGTGCTGAGGAGCCGCTTGAGATTGAAGCAACCAGATGAGTGCATCTATCTCCCCCAGTCTCCCTTCCCCAGGGAATAGTTCCCAACTTCATTGCTGTGAGATTTCATTTGAAGAAAGAATCTAATGCCCAGATAACATTTAAAGTCTGCAGACCATTGATTCCTTCCTTTTTTAGTCAGTATATTAATTTAAAAGGAATCTAGGAAGCATCCCTTTTTTGTAGGAAAATAAGCAAATGTTAAGTTTTAACTTATTTCATCATTTTTATTTCAGAGTGAGATAATTCGAGATAATACTGGGATTTTGGAATGTGTAAAAGAAGGAATTGGAAGAGTGATAGGTTTGGGAGTGCCTCATAGCAAACGACTCCTTCCACTTCTTTCCCTGGTCTTCCCTACGGTGCTGCATGGAGTTCTTCACTACATCATCAGCTCGATCATTCAGAAGTTTGTCCTGCTAATTCTAAAGAGAAAGACTTACAATAACCACTTAGCTGAGAGCACTAGCCCTGTGCAGAGTATGTTGGATGCTTATTTTCCAGAACTTATTGCTAATTTTGCTGCCAGTCTTTGCTCTGACGTTATACTTTACCCATTGGAAACAGTTTTACACCGCCTTCACATTCAAGGAACACGCACGATAATTGACAATACAGACCTTGGCTACGAAGTACTTCCAATTAATACACAGTATGAGGGAATGAGAGACTGTATCAATACCATAAAGCAGGAGGAAGGAATGCTTGGCTTTTATAAAGGGTTTGGTGCTGTTATAATACAGTACACACTGCATGCAGCTGTCTTACAGATTACCAAAATTATTTACTCAACACTTCTTCAAAATAGCATTTGAGATTTAGGATCTATCACTGGTTAGTATAAAAGACCCAATCTGGATAATTTGCTATGAAATTATGAGGGATAAAAGTGAAATACTGGGGGGAAAATGGACTGGAAAATGAAACTGGTAGAAAAAGCCCATGCTGATTATATTGACACTTTTGTGTTTTTTATTTGTTTGTTTTGTTTTGTTTTGTTTTAAGGCATAGGTATATATTTTGGATCAAAACTATTGAAACTTGAAAACGTAATAAAAATAACACTTGTAAGAATGAAATTTTAGCTGGTTTAACACTCATGCTAAAGCAAAAATGATACTGGGCAAAAGCAAAAATTTATCTTCAAATATGTAAAGTGAAATTTTATTGAGTTGGATCTATCCTATCTGACCTTAATATTTGTTACAGGTTTATTTTTCCGTCTAGATTGATATTGATATATTGTCCTAATACAGTGTATAATATCAGAAGGTTGTACCTTTAAACAAATAAATTATGTCTTCATTGAATAAGACTAAAGATTAGATTTGGCAATCTGTAAGCAGGAGTTGAAGGGTTTTAAATCGTATTTTCCCTATGTAACTATTTTAGTGGCTGTATATAATATATAAAGCCATTTCTGTACACATATAGAACTTGGAATTTCCTTCATCCCTACAAAATTTTCTACTCATAGGTCAGCTTGTTGCATAAAATACACTTTCTGCTTTAATATCAGTAAAACATCAAAGCCAAGGTACCCAGAAGATTTTAATCAAACATAGCACACTTGTCCGCATCCAGTGTTTCAGTGCCAGCAACTTAAAATTTATCATATGTTTATAAAGTTTGGTTTGCTTGGCTAGTTTTGTGAATTGTCAGGCTATTTTTAGGGCAACTTTTAAGAAATAATCATGACAACTATTATTCCTTCCATATTTACAAATTGTGTACTCAAAAGGAACCTCATAATTTTCATTTCTGAATGACTTATCTTAAACAAAATTAAAATTTACCTGGGAATTTGTGCCTCTTGCCTACCATTATAGTCATCATTAATTAATGACATCAATTTTTATCTTTCAGTTTTAAAAAAGTTTCATTCTCCAAACAATACATTTAAAGAAAAAAGTAAGATATGCTTATCCCTTTTTATTTAAACTTGTTTGGATGAATACTGAAGAAAAATATACAAACCTTAAAGGAAATTTGTCCTTGTGTTTTATTTTACATTTCAACAAATAAGTAACAGAAAAAAATTGTTAATCAGTTTAATTTTTAAAAGTCTTTCTAGGGGCTGGGGATGTGGCTCAAGCGGTAGCACGTCCGCCTGGCATGCGTGCGGCCCAGGTTCGATCCTCAGCACCACATACAAACAAAGATGTTGTGTCTGCCGAAAAAAACTAAAATAAATAAATAAAGAGAGAGTTTAAAAAAAAAAAAAAGTCTTTCTAAATTTAATTTGGTGAATTAGACTCTGTAGTATCAAATAATATGCATTTGACTAATCCACTATTAAGCATTTTAAAGTTTAATTTCTAAACAAGAATGGTCATCTTTTTTCTATGAACCATGTAGCACTCTAAAGTGCAGTGACTTTGGATGTTGTCCAACCTAGATTGCATACAAACAGATTCATGTTATTTTTAAAATGTCACAGAGATGGTTATGAATAATTTTGGAACACACAAAAAGGATACCCAGGTATGTGAAACAGTGTGTAATTAGCGACTCTTTACTAGTGTGTGTGTGTTTACTGAATAACATCAAGTTTTCCATTTTTAAATTCCACTGAGAGGGAAAGTAAACCCCATTGGTCACATTTTCTATTTAATGGTTAATCTTTTAGTTTGTGGCTTACTTTATCCAACCTGTGGGATTTAAATTGTGTTTATTGCTTTTGAAATGCTAAATAATGTTTTATATATTTATAATATATTCAGCTTCCTGAAAACCTCTCATTTTATTAAAATAAGTGGTTTCAAAGAAGATAAATCAGAAAATTTCAATTTTCAGAAATTTTCTAGGACAGAATATAATGGGAATCAAGTATTACTACTAGTGAAAGTCTGTAGAATCCTTCACCTACCTAAAAATCAGGTATTTCAAGATTTATTGAATGTTAGCATGATTATGCAGTTATATAAATTGATTTTGTTAGCATGATTATGCAGTTATACATTTATTTCATTATTGAGTCATGGCTGATGACCAAACTGCACACATTTCTTTTTTCTGTTTGAAGAAAGAATGCAAATTAACATGAACACTAAAATGGAATAGTGTTAAATAAAATATTAATTATTTTTTACTGTCTTTTCCAAATTAGTTGAAATATAATCTTTAAAAACCAGTCTGACAGGCATAGTGGTACGTACACACCTATAATCCTAGTTACTCAGGAGGCTTACAGATTTGAGGACAGCCTGGGAAACAATGAGACCTTGTCTTAAAATGAAAAGTACAAGGGACTAGGGATGTAGTTTAGTGGTAGAGCATTCCTGGGTTCAATCCCCAATACTATGGGGAGTGGCGGGGGGGTGGGGGGTGGAAATAAGCATTTAACTGGTCAAGTGTTTTTCAGTGAATTTATAAAAGCACTGTCAGATAAACTCTGCCCCTTTTAAAATATGCTATTTTAAATATGGGTGCCAAAATCTAATCTCCATAGCATACATTTCTTAATAGACCAAATTATGTTATTAAATTCAATATTACCAGTAGCATCATGGATAGGATTCTATTAAGTAGTTCTGCAAGCCCACTGGTCCTCTTATTATAAACCAGATTTTGGCCATGGAGCTTGTGATATGATATGCTTCCCTTACATTGCAGGGTTTCTTAATTTGAGTAAAATAGACTGAAAGTGGTAAAATTAAAAACTGGTAAAGATTAACCCATTTTGTGAATTTATGAATTTATTTGCTAAGTTGTATATATAGACCTTCTTAATAACCTCAATTTTATGGGCCCTTAAAAAAAAACCTAAATTAATGAAGTTTTAGTCAAGCTTCCAGACTTTAGCACTGATATTATAAAATAGTAAAAGCAAGCTAATTTGCAAAGGGTTATGAATGGACTATTAGATACTTTAGTCAGTGCTTTTAGAAACAAAACTGGAAGGGTAAGAGATCCTGCTCACTTGTGCAGATGTGCCTGACTGTTCATAACTGGTTTCAGCTCTGTCTTAGTTGTAACTGCACAAAGTATTCACTTTATTAATTGGGCATAAATGTTTAAATATTTCTATCCAATTATATATCTGTTCAGAAAATAAAGAAGATGCTGATTTGATAAATTGATTTGTCAACCGAGATTGTGGAGGATGTTTTTCCTTAGTGTTCTTATCCATCTTATGGAACAGAAAAGACTGCTGGGTATCGAAAAGTTATCCAAGTTTGAATTTATTTTCAAAACTTATCTAAGCAAATAAAATCCCTTGCACTAGAATTGGAATAATGTTTAATGTTGGCATTTCTGCTTTCTCTTTCAAGTAGTTGTACATAATCTCGCTCTCTCTCCTTTCACCCATCATAAATTGAATGTAATGTGTAATGTCTTTTTTTGGAGACTTTGAGTATCACTGATATACTAATAAGTTGTGTAGCAGTGTAATAAAAACTTGTAATTTGACAATGAACCTTATGCATTATTACCTCATCTAGAAGAGGTGTTTGTCTGTGTCTTTTCTTTTTAATTTGTTTTTGTCTGATTGGCATTTTAAATGTTTTTGGTAGCAAATTGTGTAATATGAAAAGTTCAATAAAATGTTGAAATAACACTAGTCATTTTTCTCTTACTAATGCTAGAGGACTACTCAGGCTGGTAAAAGATAAGTATATTTTAGGTGAAAATGAAACTCAAGAAAAATGAGTATGTAAAATTAAACATTTTTGCCCACCATTTAAAAAAATCTTCTAGCATCGTAAAAGTGATGTAACTGTGATGTGGCTTACAAAATATTATCTAAAATAACTTTGTGTATGAATTATATTTTGTAAAAGTCTTAGACATTCTCATTTTATTTTTATAACAACCTTATGACATTTTTGTACTAGTGTTAGTTTGACTAAGTGCTATTTTCCTAAGGAGGAAATAATTACAGAAAGTGTGTGACTTATCCCACATGATGCAGCTGGTGGAGTGACAGCAGCAAAATGGTGAGTAGGCAGCTCCAAACTTCTGTCCCTTTGTAGAAACAGAAAAAATAAAAATTAACACCCAACACCATCAGAACCAATTTTGTCAAGACTCTGGAAAATGGTCAAAGATTTATAGCACTTATGTGAACACTGAATTAAGAAAAAGACAAACTGAGATTTGTGGATTAGAGGAAGAGTGTACTCCCCAGCAGTTCCTCAGCTCAAAATTTAAACAGCAGGAAGATTGATCCCCACATGGTGGTTTACTAAGGGAATTCACTGAAATTCAACATTGGACAGCAAATAATCAGGAACACAAAGTCAGAAACTTTGAACATAATGTAAGAATAATATGCTAAAGATGTGCAAATCTATCCACTGCAGAGGGGTAGGGAAGCACAGGCAGAGAGAGGAACACATGGCAAATAAAATTGACTTGGGGGAATTTGGAATTGAGGGGAGGCTGACCTTAACTAACCCAAAGATGGTGGGGGAAGTTGTTAAGGGAAAAACTATTCAAATCAATTGGCTGAGTTGCTGACTGCACTCGGCATTGTAGTGCCATGAGCCAGTTTTGAGTGGCTGCATTTCAGTAAGCAGAGGCTAGAGATTGAGTATTCATAAAAGAAGTTGCCAACCTGACTAAGCAGTTGTCTCTTGTAGAGTCCAGAGTATATCTGGGCCAGTGTGATTAAAACAAGTATGAAGAGGACTGTCTAGAGCTTTACAAGTTGGAGATACCAAGGAGAGAGAACTCCCTTTTTTGCCATCCCATAAGAGCAACTGGAAGACACCAGTAATGCATCAGACAGTGCATCTGGACTACAGGTCTGATCTTGGGTAATTCACACCCGTGGACAAGGAATATGTGAAGCCTGTCAAGATTTAGACTCCTTGCCCCAAAAGTAGAAATTTTAGGAGGCCCCTGAAACCTAGATGTCCAGCAAAGATTGGTTTCTCCCCAGAAATAGGAGTGTGGACCAAATCTCAAATACCCATCAACAGAATTCCAAGGATCACTCAAGACCAAACTGGAACTACTGAAACTCCAATTTAGAACTCTGCACCAGTCCTACTATGGGACTACACTGATTGTCCGCTCTCAGCGTCTATCCTATCCTACATTGGGAGACCAAAAGCTGAGTGCTGCTACAACTAGCTTTAGCTTCTGGCCATAACAGCTGGCAGCTTGGGGAGAAACACAAAGACATGGGACTTAATAACCCTCAGTCCCGAACCCAAGGGTTACAGAGTCCTCAAAAATAAATTTAAAAGAATGGCACATCAGATTAAACAATGAACATCCATCCTTGCCAGCAGTTTTGACCACATCAGTGGAAATAAGCCCCCTGTCTTGTTTTGCTTTTGCCTCAAGAATTTTTTTCTATTCCCCATTTCCTTTTTATATTTTCAATTTTGTTTTTTAAATTTTTATTTATTAATTTACTTTTCATTTTCTCCATTTTGCATGATTGTGTGTGCCTGTGTGGATATGTGTGTGTGTTCTCACTGAGCAGATTGGTTAAAAATATATAGTTTTTCTTTCATTTTAATTACTTTCATATTCAGTTATTTATTATTTAGTCTTAATTTGACTTTGGTGAGGTAAAATTTTATGTGGGTTTGTTTTGTTTTGATCTTTTGTTTGTTTGTACCTTGGTTTTTGGTCCTCTTATTAATCTTTCTTCACTCCCTTTCCCCACTGACAACCAAATTTTCCTCCTTCTTTCTTTATATGATTACTTTTGGTTATTTTTTACTCTTCCGTCTTTACAGCTGTCTTCTGCTATCTATCTCCTGCATCTCTTCACTTTTTAAATATTTCTAACTTTCTCTTTCCATATTTTCACTTAAGGAAATAATTCCACCATCCAATATAATTATA